CCCGCAGAGACGCCCCTTGGGAGCTCCCGGCTGGAGCCCGGGGCGGCGTCCCACCGGGCGATGCTGCCAGGGCAGCTCGGGCCATGCCAGCGGGTGGTTTATTTACCAGAGAGAGCATCCTGCTTCCCTTTCCGACATCCCCCCCCTTCCCGGTGCCGTGCCCACCTTGCGTCAGCCCTCCCTCACGACCCTGCCCGGAGTCATAGAATCACAGAATCACAGACTGGTTTGGGTGGGAAGGGACCTTAAAGATCATCCAGTTCCAACCCCCCTGCCATGGGCAGGGACACCTTCCACTAGACCAGGTTGCTCCAAGCCTCATCCAGCCTGGCCTTGGACACTTCCAGGGATGGGGCATCCACAGCTTCTCTGGGCAACCTGTCCCAGTGCTCCCACCCTCTCTGGGAAGAATTTCTTCCCGATATCTAATCTAAACCTCCCTGATTTCACTTTGTACTCGTTACCCCTTGTCCTGTCACTACAGGCTCTTGTAAAAAGTCCTGCAGCACGCGGCTTTATCAGGCACCGCTGGGTGACGACGATGATGTCAGGCCCGGGAGCAGGGCGCAGGCTGTTGGGCGCTTCTGCCCGGCCGGAGCCCTGCCTGAAATCCTGCACCCGGCCTGAAATCAAGCCCCAGGGCTGGTGCGGGAGCGTCGCACCGGCTGTCTCTCGGTGAACCGTTCCTGGCGGCACCAACCAATGCGCGTCGGGTGCTGGCTTGAGGGTGGAAAAGGGTGAAAACGGGTGTGTTTGCTGATGCCAGCCATGGTTTCCTGTCTCCTCGCAGGGTGCGGATGTGAACTGCATGCACGGCACCCTGAAACCGCTGCACTGCGCCTGCATGGTGGCTGACGCCGACTGCGTCGAGCTGCTGCTGCAGAAGGGAGCGGAGGTGAGGGCTTTTTAAAGATCAAACACCCCTTGATGCAAAGGGGCCGGGACCTCGGGAGGCGGCGGGTGGTGCTGAGATTTGAGCTGATGGTTTTAAGCAGCACCGGTTTTGTGCCCCCTCTTGGGGCAAAATGGGACGAGGTGAAGGTTTGTGGTCCCAGCAGGGAGCGAAACACTTGTGGCCGAGATCTTGGGGGTGTGGATCATCCAAGGAGGGAGGCTGGTTTTGCTTTGAAGGCCTGAAGGAAGGATTGGAGCCTATATATTGCCTGATTTTTGACGCTTCTTCCTGGCTGCTGGCAGGTCGTATCCCCAGTTCCCTGCCTTGTTTTCCCCTCTGCGAAATATGGGACATGGGAACAGTTTTGCGTAGCACTGGTGGAGCTTCTCCTGATGCCGGCAGGAGCCTCCATGACCCCCCAGATCCTCTCTCCTCTCCCCCTTTCTCCTGAAGGTCAATGCCCTGGATGGCTACAACCGAACGGCCCTTCACTACGCAGCAGAAAAGGACGAAACCTGTGTGGAAATCCTCCTGGAATACGGGGCCAACCCCAACGCGCTGGATGGCAACAAGGACACCCCGCTCCACTGGGCCGCCTTCAAGAACAACGCCGAGTGCGTGCGGGCACTGCTGGAGAATGGCGCCTCAGTGAACGCCCGCGATTACAACGACGACACGCCGCTCAGCTGGGCAGCCATGAAGGGTAACCTGGAGAGCGTCAGCATCCTGCTGGACTTCGGGGCGGAGGTCCGGGTGGTCAATTTGAAAGGCCAAAGCCCCATCTCGCGCTTGGTGGCGTTGCTGGTTCGGGGCTTGGGGACGGAGCGAGAGGATTCCTGCTTCGATCTTCTGCATCGCGCTATTGGACACTTCGACCTGCGGAAGAACGGCAGCATGCCCTGGGAGGTGACCAGGGATCAGCAGCTCTGTGACAAGCTCACCCCGCTCTGCTCGGCCCCCGGTACCCTACAGACGCTGTCGCGATATGCCGTGCGCCGCAGCCTGGGTGTCCGGTTCTTGCCGGAGGCGGTGAAGCAGCTGCCCTTGCCCACCTGTCTGCAGGAGTACG